AGCCAGCCTGCATTGCCTCAAACTTGGCTCCTTCTGCTGCAGAGGCCTCTAGAGAGCTGGGCTGCAGGCACCCACTCCTGCACCTGCTCCAGCCCCAAGCGTCAGAGCCTGGCGTGGAAGGGTGGCTTCGTCCCCTCTGCTCTCACTGCAGGTGCCGGAGCCAGTGTGCAGGGCCGGGGGCCTGGTCTCTGAGGTGCAGTGAGCAGTTGTGCTTATCTGCATCTCTAATTCCAGCTGCTCTGTGGACCCTGGAATGAAAAGCAGATGCCTCAGCCAATTCGTGATTAATATATTTTTGTCTTGTGCAGAATAAATTATGCCAGACGGGCAGTGAGGGTTTTAAAGTAAGGCTGTTCTGGAAGCCTCATTGCACTGAAGACCTTCTTGGTTCCAGAGTTTTAAAGTTGACGGCACGGTTTTTAATGTTATCTTGGGGCATAGCTAGGTGTTTTGATTCTAAAAAATTGTACCTTATTACATTTCAAGTAGTTGTTACTATTAAAATCTTAGGTGTGCTCAAAACCGACCCGATTTTTCTTTCTTTTGCAGGGGTGGCTGAATACCTTTTGGAAGAATGTTTTTCTTCTTGGCATCTTAGGGGTTGGAGAAGCTCATGAAGTAAAATCTTGCCTGTGTGCTTTGTGTTTTTCTTTTTCTTTTCCCTATTAATGTGTTTCCTATTTTTAAATTAAAATAATTTCAGAATAAACAGATTTCTCTAAGGTTTGGTGAGACACTGTGCTCGTGGTCGGAGCCTTCTGTCTCACCCTTCAGTGCTGCCGTGAGATCCCCAGGCTGGCTTGCTTACTGACAGCCAGTGCAGGCTGCAGGGTGTAAGATCACAGTGCCAGCAGGTTTTGGCCTGAGGGCCGGGTCCCCTTGCCCCCTGTTACGTCTTCTCCTGGAGAACAGGACACAAGGACACATGTGTCAGGCTGTGGGACGCTTGGGTTTGCGTCCGGATCCTGCTCACCAGCGAGATCACCAGCGGTACTGTCAGCTCGGGGAGTTTTGCGTCAGTGTTGGAGGGACGTCGCTTTCACACCTTGGCGCCTGCTGCCTGATCAGTGTTTTCCTCCTGTGGAGGGAAGGTTGGTAGAGATGGGAACTCCTGCTGTCTGACCATCAGCACTTCAGTTACAAACAGGGAGTCAGAAATGAGTTTATTTCTGATTTTTGTTTTTGTTTTTTTGGTTTTGGGGATTGAACTTGGATCCTTGCACTTGCGGGTCAGGTGGTGGCACCACTGAGCTAAATCCCCAGCCCTGTTTCTGTTTTAAAGGTATTCCATTACTTCAATTTGTGCATCATTGTTTATGTTCTGAGTTCTAGCCCTTTTTTTCTTTTTCATTCTGAGGATTGAACCCAGGACCTTTACACTGAGCTACATCCCCAGCCCTTTTTATTTACGTGTTTTTAAATACTGATCCAGGGTCTCCTTAAAGTTGCTAGTTTGCTCAGACTGGGCTCCAACTTTGGATCTTCAGCCTCTGTGGCTTCTAATCTCTACAGCATGGTGACAGTGTGCATTTGGGTGAATGTTACCTAACCCTTAGCGTTAGGTGCTTAGTCTTCCTGTGTTGCCTTCGACTGAACACCGCAGACTGTTCATTTTCATGACTGAGTCTGTGAGGGCAAGCGTTGGGGTGGCAGTGCCTGGCAGGTCCTGCATCGTCATCCGTGCAGGGAGGCCTCCCATGCCTGGCCTGCCTTCTGTGTGGATCTCCATTCGCTCCTCACGTCCAACCCCAGGGCCCCTCTGCCCTGCCCACACTTCCCCTGGGGTTGGAGTCCCAGCACATTCAGGACATGGGAAAGGCCTAGTTATTAGGGTTGATTGGTATTCCTCGCTTTTGAGGCCCCTGTTTGAGAGACCAAAGTATACTGTTAATAAAATGTGCCTGGGGAGAGGTGGAGGGAAGGAAAGCCCCTGTGAGACAGAGACCAGCTCTTCCTAGGTCACATCAGGGTGGCAGCAGGAGAGCTGGGCCTGTGTCTGAGCATTTTCATCGCAGCATGAATCAGAAGGAGCAGTACAAACTTCAGAGGAAAAGGCGCAAGGGTGGAGGGCGGTTTGAGAGGTACAAGAGCGGAAGTAGGGACAGAGGGTGGGGACCGAACTTAAGTGGGTGGTGAAGTGGAATACAGGGAGGTCGGTCCCTTGCACGACCCAACAGAAACACTAACAGCACACCCTGTGAAACAGCCTTGGTGTGGGAGAGCCTAGTGTGATACGGTAAGATGCCACAGAAGTAAGCGATAAACACAGCCCCCAACTCTCAAACATCAAGGAAAACCCACCCAGTGTGACAGTTCTCAGGGTGACATTTACAGTAGAACCTACATCAGTCCAGACCTCTTCTCTGCCTCAGCTCCAACAGCAGAGGGCTGGCAGAGCGTTTTGGGGGTCTGTGCGCCCCTCCTCTGGCTATGGCTGTGGGCCAGCAGCCTCGGGTAGTTCCCAGCAACAGACCTGAATGCCTCCTCTCCGGGGAGTGATGGGCAGGAGCCACACAGTCCGGAGGCTGCAGGCAGGTCTTGGGTGTGGAGCAGGGCTCCACAGTCCCAGACCTGCCCCTGGCCAGAGGCTGCAAAGACTACAGCACCTGCTCCATGGCCCCTCCAAGTGGACAAGGACAGGCGCGGTGTGCAGGTCCCCAGCTAGACCCTTCCCACTGCACACCTTCCTGCTGCCACACTGGCTGTCTAGGCTCCAGCTCCATGGCATGGTGCTGTCCAGGACCACCGTGGGGTCCTCCCAGCCTGGGGTGGGATGGGAAGGTCTCTTGCTCTCAAAGTTTGCTTTTAGTCGATCACAGTCACTATTATTATTAGGGCTGGCAGGAGTTGCTCTGTGTCACACAGTGACACAACCCTAAGTGGGAGCTGTGTCTCTGGGTCACAGGAAACAGGCTCTTACATACAAGCAGACCTCTGCCCACCCTCAGTCTTGCGCCAGATCATGCCCCTTACACCAGGGAGATGAAGGGTAGTGGAGAAGCTTTTGAGAGGGCTCTCCTGGCCAGCCAGCTCCTCGGGGACAGGGCAGGAATGATCAGGTGGCTGCACTTGGGTCTCTGGCTGTGTGAATCTGGTGCCCCCGGAGGCTGTGATGTCCTCTTAACAGGAGGGGAGACCCCTTTTTGCTCTGAGCAGTCACTCCTCGGTGCTGGGCAGCCTTGTTTCCCATAACCTACGCACCTGTCTAGGTTCGGGTGTTTCTAGAGCTTGCCTGGCTGCCAGCTACAGTCCCTAGTGGACGCAGCTCCTCTTGATCTGGGGCTGCTGCTTTTGGGTCAGTTCAGGCCGATCCTCTCAGGTAGAAATTCTTGCTGTGTTTCGACACTGTATGAATAAAGGAAATAAAATGTATATAATACTTCGTTATGTGTCTGTTTACTGTCATGTAAAAATGACACCAGAAAAGACCACCAGAAAAGCATCAGTGTTCTATTGGACCAATAGTGAAAGTTTTCTAGATTAAAACTTTCTATCGCTTAAGAGCCATCTGAATTTCATTTATGCAATGCTTTGTCAAGATGCTACAATATTTTTGCATTTATATTAGACCCATTTTGAATCCATATTTGCAGCCTCATTTTTCCCTCTCCGTGGTGTAAGCAGATGAAGACATTATAGGATTGAATTTATTTGCTATTTACTTAATAGCCCGTTTCACTTAATGTGACCTTTACTTGATAAAAAGGAAATAGAGCTTCAATAGATTCTTTCATCAATAGAATACAATTATCTAGGTGATGATTTAATGGAAGAATAATGTCAGAACTGTGTTGGAAGAGCTATTTTAAGACCAAAAAACAGTTTTATGCACAAAGTACACACAGAAGGCAGCGATTTCATTAACCTGTGCTTAGCAGTAAGCACCAACCCTCTTCTCTCCTCTTTTCTTATTTCATGCTTAAGCAGTCATAAACACAGGGCTGTGGATAATAAATATACTTTATTCCTATAAAGCTACATGAAGAATGTAACATGGAGAAAGCTCCCATTGCTGAGTGTTGGAAGCTGCAGCGATCACCAGTAATAAAGCTGAGGCAAACTTCACATTCAGCTCCACCCACCTGATTCCTTCATAATCCTGACACATCTCTTGGAAAAGTCTGCTGAAATGCATGGAAATAGCTTTATTGCCTTGATGTGGACATTCATAAAATAAAAGTTACTGTGCTATAATGGGGAAAGTGTTATTTTATGTTTGTAATAAAATAGGTTAACAATTTACAATTTGTTCTATTTTCTCTACAACTTAGAGTCAGAATTTATGAAATGCCAGAAGCATGGTAAGTTTCAGTCTTCAGGGTGATTATTGCTGAAGTCCATGTCGGGCTTCAGTTCTGCAGTGCAATCATTTATTTCATCTTAAAGGCTGGATTTAAAGACCCATGGGTAAGAAACCAATTCATTGGAATGTGAAAGAAGGCAGGGTATTTTCTTCTACTTAACAAATGTTGCTGCTTAAAACCAAGCTGTGGAGCACATAAGAAAACTGACTGCCAATTCTGTAGATCTTGTCAGACCCTAGTTGACAAGTCAAAATGATTATACACCTTTGAATCCAAAAAGGACCAGTCACCAAATATCAATATATCTGTCTTGGGATAAATTTTTAAAAGATTAAAAGTTGTTTAAGATAATATTTTAAAGTTTAGTTGTGTCAACTTAGAGGCAATCATTCTTTCTAGAATTTTCTCTTTAAAATTCTGGTACAATGTTAAGAGATACGTCAGCTCCTCCCTTGTCTCTGTTCATTGTACATCCAGTTGCTTGCTGATCATTAGCTAAGTGTCTCTATTACTAATTTTTACATAGGAAACCATCCCAAATTTGGTGTCCTAACCAGGAACACTTTGCTACTTCTCTGTTGTGGGTTGGTTAGAGCTCAGCTGGACAGTTCTCCTGGTGACCTCGCTGGAGGGATGTTTTGCAGGAAGCAAGGATGCTCAAGGTGCTTTCTTTCTTCAGGGCTTGTCTCTATGTCGTCTGAATCATGCAGTGTTCCAGCCTGGAGTTCCTTATACCCAATGGCTGAGCTTCAAGAGAAGAAAAATGAAGTAACACCTAAAGGTAGGGTATAGGTTTGGAAGGCCCAGAACATGACTTCTACTAATCTCTATCCTAAAAGGCAAACTTCAGAGCCAGCTTGGATTGTAGGAATGGAAGTGGATTGTATTTCTTCTTGGGATGAGACATCTTGTATAGGAAGAGGAAGAACTGAGAGCTACTTCCATTAGACACTTCTGTTGAGGTCATAATTGTTATCAGTCAGCTATGAAACATTTACTCAGTATGAAGACAGTGTTCCCAATGACACAGTACCTACCTTTTCCTAGTTACCATGTTGTAGAGAAGACTAGCAATTAAACAAGTGCATAGCATTTGCAGCAATGTGGCAGATAAAAAACAGAAAAAATATGAAGAGGCAGAATAAATTTTGATAAAACTTTTGACTTCTTAGCCAGGAAATTTCAAGTGTCACATGTAGAAAGGATGTTCATTTAAAGCATGTCAAGTATGCAAAGTGGCTACAAGGACATCAGATAGAACATATGTTATAGATGCCAGAGGCTGGTTCTTGAATAAGCTCCTGGGGTAGGCAAAGTGAAAAGGGGAAACATTACTGTGTCTTTCATGCAAAGGGTCTCTAATTGCTAGGTGATCAGTAAGGAAGTTCATCTATGTAAAAATTTCCATGAAACATTAAAATCCTCATCTTGATCAACCCATGGCCTCAGAGACAAAAATCTGTGAGGTGGGTGAGCTGAAGCTGAAAATAGATAGACCTTGTAAATCTGTAAAATTGGTCATCTCTGTGAGGAACGTGCCCGCTTGGAAGACCCACTGCACTCAGGAAACCCAAACATATGGTCCTCTAGGCATACACAGTTTGCCTGGTCAAGATCCTTTTTCACAACTAAGGAGTTAATTTTTATCTTACGCAGTGTTCCCCAGGGTCTAGTTGACTTTTTATCTTTATGGTACCTCCAAGGTATCAGATCTGGAAATATTACTGAGGGTCAGATTCTCATGCAAGAAGTGGAAGAATTTGTTAACCATTCATGCTACCTCATATCAGCACTCCAATCCTCAACCACAAGAAGGGGGTGATGTTGCCTGGACTATGAGTGGAAAACTCCTAAGTTCAGTGAAACCAAAACTGATATTGACAGGAAAATTTAACACAGGCAACCTGTTATGCTTAAATCTAAAGTGTTAAAGATTTCTAACTGTGGTTAGAAGGTGATGGATCACGGGCCTGGGCTCATCAGTGGGTTCATCATGGGTGAGTTCAGAGCTGACGGTGCTGTAGGAGCCTGGGCCTGACTGGAGGGGTCCCTGGTGTGATCTGGGAGGGTGCATTCCTGTCCTCAGCTCCTCTTCTGCTTCCTGGCTGCCACAGGGGGAGCAGCTGTCCTCGGCAGACCCTTCCACCATGCTGTTTTTGTCCTGGAGCTAGCCAAGGACTAAAATTATGGGCCAAAATAAACCTTTGCTCCTTTAAGTTGTGAGTGTTGTGTTTTGTCTCAGTTACTTTTCTCCTTGCTGAGACAAAATATCCAACACTCAAAGTTAAAAGATGAAAGGTTTATTGTAGCTCACAGTGTGCAGAAGTTTCAGTTCACTGTTGGCTGGCTCCAGGGCAGAGGGCATCAGAGGAGAAACAGTCCATGGCAGGTAGAAGGCAGCTAAGCAGCAAAGTAATGAAGAAGCAGCAGCAAGAGACAGCCTGGCTCTCCCTTTTGTCCCTTCCAGGCTACCTACCCTTTGGGTGGTGCCTCCCACACCCAGGGTGACCTTCCCATTATTCACACCCAGAACTATGCCAAACCCCTCAGTGGACTGATTTATTAATCAGATACCCTTAATCACACACTTAATTCTAGAATCACACAGCCTAAATCCAACCACTTCTGAAAGTCCCACCTATGACCACGTGAGGCTTTGGGGGGGACATCTAGACACAGACATAACAGGTATTTTGTTCAGTGACAGGAAATTAACTAAGATACAACCCCAAACTGAAGCTATAGACAAGAAATATAGACCCCTACATGACTCATAGCTGACTGCAAGCACGAACGACCCCAGTCCTAGCTGTGTCCTACCTACTTGTTCCTGCAATGTGGACACAGGGCTGAGAGGACATAAGTAGTATTTTGTAGACACTAATGATGGTATTCTAAGTCATTATGAGCTGGAGATGTTCTCTGCAAATAATTGACACAATAGTTTGAGTTGTGTGACAAAGGGTGTCTTCTTCATAGACAGTAACATATTAATTACTACTCTTCCTTTTATTTACCTGATACCTTTTCCAGTTCTCCCCTACATTTCCGGCTTGAGTCTAACTCTGCCTCTTCTGTCTTCTTTATTAGTGGTGATGGTTGTGGTGGGGCAGGCACACGACTGTCAGCTTGGACACAGGAAGGGCTGTGGTTACAGTGCCCAGTACACTTCAGTTACTGAATCTTCCTCTCCTTCTATAACATCATGCAGAAAGCGCAGACTTCCTGCGTACACAGCTCCCCCAGTGTCCGCAAGTGCATTCTCCGCTGCCAGCAGAACTCTGGCAGAGTGCTGGGGATTCTCCCAGCACTCTGAGTTTCTTCTGAGTTCTCAGTGTAGTGTGGCTGGTTTGCTGGTTTGGGGGCTGCACACTCTCCCCATACGACCTGCACTGTGTGTGTGTGTGTGTGTGTGTGTGTGTGTGTGTGTGTGTGTGATTTCTTAGTAATCACCCTTGAAGACAGAATAAGTGACAAAATTTGGGAAGTGATCAGAGTCCCATGTTTTCTAGAGGGGTATCCTACTCTAACTACAGAGCCGATTTGGGGTTTGGGGACAACAGGCACACACACCAAACACTGGACCATCAACATCATTATCTACAAAAACCCACAGGGCAGGGCATGGAAGTTGGGCCAGGAGCTACTGGGCAATGCACCTTTTCTATCGTAGCCCAAGTCCCTCAGGTGTCTTCAGGCCATCCTGCAGGCAGAGGCCCAGACTCTGAGGTCTGAGTCCAGCACTGCTGCTAAAGCCACGCCCAGGCAGAACTGCAGTGACTGGGTCCTGATTCTGGAAACAGAATACTATACAACCAACTTAACACTGGAAAGAGTTTTCTAAAGTGTGTATCAAGGGCATCATTAATTTGTTATAATACCTTAAGTTCCTTATATGTATTTTGTTGACTACATTATTAAAACTCAATATTTATAGGTATTTCTCAGGATCTCTTATAATTCTTACTTTGAATGCATCTGCACACATCTTGAGACAAAATTGCTCATCTTTATATATTTTTTCATCTTATCCTGAGCTGCTCTGGCACTGCTGTGAGGAAAAGATTGATTTCTAGGCCTTATTAACTATCTATTACTGTTTATTAGGCAGCATTCCCTCTTTTCCACTCTGATTGATAAGTACCTTCCCCCTGCTCGTCCGCTGTGATTTACCTCTCCTTGTGTGTGTTGGGAGTGCATAGTTAGTGTCTGCCTGTTACAGGACTTTCCTCCTCAAGCCCAGGGCAGCTCCTGGGCAGCTGGCCTCTCAGCCGGTGCAGTGATGGCTGTTATTACCAGCTACTCCCGTACAAGAAGGAGCTGTAACTCTCACATACAACGCCTGCCTGGCCTTGAGGGTCGGTCTTCCTTCCCTGGACGTGATGGTGCTGTAGTCTGTGGGAGGCACAAAGGTGCCTGCCTGATGTGGCTCAGTCTCTAGTGCATTGGTCTGATCAGTGCCAGCTGAGGAAAGAGCTGTTTTCTAATTCACCACCCACCTGTGCGCTCTCACGCTTGTACATTCTTGTTTCACCATTTGTATCTAGTAAGTTTTCAACTAGCAAGTTATATAGCATGAAGCAAGGGCTGAAGGGACAAACATTCATGTTGGAACTTGGGCTTTGCTATCTACGAACCACAATTTCACACCAACTTTTTCTTGTTTGTGTGGGGACCGCCATATTGGCTGTGCCCAAAGCAGGCTGTCAGCAGTGCAGGCTATAAAGAGTTAGCCCAATTGGCTTGTTTATAGAAGTGAGTCCAGTTGAAGCCTGTGTGCCAAGGTCGGAGTGACTTGCACCCAAATTCTGTTCCGAAAGTTAAAACCTTCCTTACTAAAAATACAGGGTTAATTATTAACCACAACCTATATTTTGTCTATTCTGTTCCTCATGCAAGAATGCTTTGTTTTTTCCTTTACAAGCCTTGCCTGCATCAGCAACGTATCCATAGTGACTCCACGTAGTCCCTTCATGTAGCCCCCTTACCTCAATAAAACTATGATGTCACCAATAAATGTCAACAGCTCTGGTGTTCAGGGCCTTTGCTTGTTCAAGCCTCTGACTGCCCAAGCACTGGCCGTCCTGGATCCCTGAGTCTCTGTCTCTGTATCTCTGTGTCTTTCTTCTCAGCTTGCACTGAGCAGATCAGAAGCCACCGCAGGGCTCTCCAGTAGTTTGGATAGCACATGATCATTGCACATATTCATGGGACACAGTGTGATGCTTTGATCTGTTTACACTGTACAGTGAGCAGAGCAGGGTCAGTACCTCCTGTCACCTCGCCCCCGGCCGCATCTGGGAGGAGGATGCACCAGTTCCTCATACAGCTGTTTTGGAATAATGACATATGCTCATGAAAAATGGGTAAACAGAAGGAAACATTCTGTTGGCAAGAGAGACTCTTTGATCTGTTCCTTGATCCAGGCAGAAATGGACACTTCAGAGATGAGGACAGAAGGAGGCTGGTTTACTGAGACTTTTGTGGACAAGATCTCATCATGGCTTGTTATGGCTTGTATCTAGATGTTTCCCCAAAGCCTTATGTGGTCATATGTGGGGCTTTTCAAAGGTGGCTGGATCTAGGGTGTGTGATACTGGATTAGTTCACTAATTGATTTATCATAGTTCAGAGTGTGGGTAATGGGAAGCCCCAGGCTGGGTGTGGGTGGTGCCACCCAAAAGGCTTGTAGCCTGGATGGGATAAAAGGGAAAGGAAGACTCTCTGCTTGCTGTCTTCTGCCTGCTCTGCCATGAACTATTTCTCCATGCCCCTCTGTCAGGCCCCCTGCCTTGGAGCCAGCCAACTATGGACTGAAACCTCTACAGACCGAGGGCTGAAATAAACCTTTTCTCCTTTAACTTGTAAGTATCAGTATCATATCTCAGAAAAAGTAAGACACGGCCTTTCCCAGTGTGTAGGAATTTGGCCTCTTCATTATGGATGACTGACAGAGTGACATCCAATCACAGCACTTCCTTTCTGATACAGCATGCAGGGGGTAGGGCTGAAGTTTACAGTGCAATACTGTATGTACTACATAAAGATGTCTTCACCATACAGAACAAACTGTGATTATTTCTACCTTTATACACATGCTCTCTTTATTTTAACTCATTTATAATCCTCTAGGGTCAACTTTCCAAGATTTTTTTCCTGGATGAAGGGAGGATATACTTTTTACATGGAAATACCCAAAGTCTTTTAATGCTAAAGTAAGATTTCTTTAGTTTCTTTGGCACAGAATGTTGCAAATGAATTTTCAGTGTATAATTTGCCTTTTAATTTTGTTTACAGTGTTTTCATAATCTTATTGCAAGTATTTTTTAGCCTCCAGAGACATTAAACAAATACAATGAATACTGATATGCCCTCTATCTATCTTCAATGGCTAACAGATTTCCAAATTTGTGTGATGTGTTCTCCAGTCCTAAACCACTGAAAAATAACTTATGGAAATCATGATATATCACCCTTAAGAGCTTCAATTTGCATCTGTGAGAATACTGAATTTTCTATATGACCACATACTGTTACTATGCTAAATAAAATTAGCAACATTTCTACAGCACCCAATAATCAGCTCCAATGCATATTATGACATATAGAACTTCACATTCTTATTAGTATGTTTACATAACATAATAATTCCATTCTTCATGGTGACTCGTACATTTACACCTCGAATCATAATCACCTTACTCCCCTCCCTTAACCCCTTCCCATCTCCTCCAGATTCCTACCGTCTCTCTTTCATTTTGCTCTTTAAGCTATTTATATTTTGGCTTTCTCATATAGAATAACCACAGGATATTTATATTCTGTGTCTGGTTTATTTCAGTTAGGACTATGAAGACCTTCATATTTTTAAGTCATCAAAGCTATTGATATTTTCTCCTGCTTTCTTTGACAATAGTTTAAAAAATTCTCTACTCCAAGAACTAAAAGATGCTTTGTTGTACTCATTTCACTGTTGTCTTCACGTGATTTTTTCTTATTTGAATTTCCAATATATCTAGAATTCATTTGGACCAATGTTCTAAGGTAAAAATCAAGTTTTACTTCTCTATATACCATTAATTGATTTCCTCAGCTGAGTGAGGATGACACCTTCCCAGCTCACAGGACTCCATTTTGCATTTGGGTCTCTTCCACTGTCCTGTCTGCTCCTGGGCAGGTGACAGATGGTTTTCAGTGCTTGACTGAGTTTTAATGTCAGTTACTCATTACGCTTACTCCAAAATATCTGGCTCTTTCTACCTATATCTCTCCCACTGTCTCCCATCAAGTTTTGTCATACTTGTGACTAGGCATCCTTGAATACAAAATGTCAGCCACATCTCCTATGCACAAAATGTCAGACACACCCTCATTAGTGGTGATGACCAAATTCTTCACACAGATTTCCAAAATTCATCTCAGGACTCCTATTTGAGGTCACTTAATTTAACTATCATTTCATTAAGAACATCATTTAATCAGGACATTTCATTAAAAATATGAGGTAAGTGCTTCTGTTGTATGTACCAAAGCACATCTGAATTCCTTTTTAAAGATATTGAGCATACTACATTTGTCTAGCTCATCAGCACCTATGCCACAGTGTCTGACACTTGGGTTTAAACAGGAATTTGCTAAGTGCCTGATGAACAGAATAACCAGATATAAATTATATCATAAGAATGACAATGGCAGGGAAAACTGGTCCTAAGAAATGTGTGAGGGCTTTATGAAAAAAACTAAAATATTTCTAAAAACATACAAGAGGACCTAAATAAATTCAGGGAAATGAACAGTTTATGCCTGTAAATATCAACCATTAAAAAGATACTACTTTCATGGATTGAATGGTTTGTTGGTTTAATGCAATTTGATCTTCTAATTTCCTTAATCTTATAATAAAACTGTAATCAGTAATTCTAAAGAACATTGGAAAATAAACAAATGAGATGAGACAAGGCAGTATTCTGAAAAAAATTAAATCTGTAATGGCAGTGGAAGCACTAGCAGATGAAATATTTCAAGAAGCAGCCCCAAGTGTACAGGGCCCACATAAACTCTGTCCACAAAGCAGACCAAAAGAGAAAGGCCATTCAGTGGGTGGTTTTAGGTTTATCTTTAGATCTGCCCCCAAAGCCTCCTGTGCTCATAGGTGGGGTTTTGGTGGGCTGACTGGGTCATGAGGGCAGGACACTCCTCAGACTGGCTCCATCCCCCAGGAGTTTAGCTGACTCTGATGAGGGAGCTGGAGCCTGGTCAGAGGGGGCAGTCTTGGGGTCATGGCCAGAAGGGTCTGTGTCCCTCCTCCTCCCTTGATCCCTGGCTGCTTCCTGCCGCCAGGCTGTGAGCTATTCTCCTCAGGCACGTTCCTCTGTCAGACCACTCTGCTTTGAGCCAGAGGACTGTGAACTGAAACCTCTCCAAACTGTGAGCCAACATAAATCTCTCCTCCTTAGAGCACTTGGTATTGGGTACAGTGTCTCAGCAAGGAGAAAATAATCAAGGCAGTGCTTTGAAAACAACTATGCAAGTATCCAGATTTGAAACAAGAAAGATCCGTGACTTGTACCACACAGAGAATGATTTTAATATGGAATGGTGAGCATAGAATCAAAAGTAATAAATATGTAATTTGCAGCTCACCTGTTGCCTTCTAATGAGAGGGATGCAAACGAGGGAAGGGTGGGCCAGTTTGCAAATCACTAGACAGTGGTGGGGAGGTAGGAGACATGGCTAGAGCTAGAGCTATAACTGCCTTGGGTGGGGGGAGAGAGAGAGCGAGCGTGCCAGTGAGCCAGGGAGCGGAGGGTGAGAAATCACTGCTGAATCAGTGGAACACGCAGGAAGGAGTTGGTCTCTCACCTGCATTTGCAAGCGGAGGGCTTCCTCTGGGGTCCCTCAAGGCGTCTCACACAGCTTCACCCACGGGGGTCCAGAGAGAGCCTGGCCTCCCCTTCCTGCCTCAGCTGAGGAAGCCTATGGCCTCCTCCTGCTCTGTGGCCTCCTCTGTGTCCACTCGGGGCCTCGCCCACACTTCCGGCGGGCAGCCCTGCCCCCACGCCCGCGCTCCGGTCGGTCTGGAGTCAGCGCCCGACTGTGACCCAGCTTCCGGTCCTCGGTCCTCGGTCCTCGGAGTGGAGCTGCAGGCCTGAGCTCGCTGAAGCCTTGCTAATGAGCAGATGCAGGTGGGCGGAAGGCAGGAGCCAAAAGAACGTGCTGGAATGCTAACCCTGGGCCTGGCACAGGGCCTCGTTTTATGTCCTCATTTTTACTTTCCTGTGTTTCTCAAATTTCGGACAGTGTTCCCCTCTCTCCCTCTCCCTCCCTCTCTCTCCTCTCTCTCTTCCCCCTCTCTCTTTCATACTGGGGATTGAACCTTGGGCTTTTGCACCAAGCTACATGCCTAGACATTTTTATTTAGTTATTTATTTTATTTTGAGACAGGGTTTCACTAAGTCACTTGGTTGCCCAACCTGGGCTTGAGCTTGCAACTCTCCTGCTTCAGCCTCCCAGAGTTTGTGTCATTTTTTACAGCAAGAATTTAAACTACATTCACAAAGAGGCAGAACTCATGAAAGCAGTTACTGTGCAAATTTTTTTTTTTTTTTTTTGGAACCGGGGATCGAACTCTGGTCCTTGTGCTTGCGCAGCAGGCGGCAAAATCACTGAGCTAAATCCCCAGCCCTACTGTGCAAATTCTTCAGTGGCTGCCATGGAACCCATCCCTCTTGGCCTGTCTTGCCCTCAGGGTCAGCAGGCAGTGGCCACCTAGCTGAGTGTGGCCCCACACGGTCTGGGTGTGGTCTGGCTCTGCTGCTGGACATCTGGGGACATCTGGGGACATCAGGGAAGCTGCTCAGCCCCTCTGGGCCCCATTTTCCTCACCCACGAGGAGAGTGAGCCCACATCCCTGAGGACTGTAGCTTTGGTGACCGCACAGCCTTTTTCAGGGGTCACAAATCACCTCCTGAGTTTGGGGTGCCGCCACATCCTCTCCGGCCCTGAGGCTCTGTGTGTGCTGTTCTTTCTCCTCAGACTGGTCTGTCCCCCTGTCCCGACCTCCCCTGTGTCAGCCCCTTCCTTCTCTCCCTCGGGGATGGACTCAGTAACTGCTTACCTGCACAGCCTCGCCTCTTAGCTGAATTATACACGAGGGGTCTTGAGCTGTGTTCAAGTCTTACTTGTTCTTCTAATATCTAAAATAATTTCTGGCTTTTGAGGAGTACATGAAGGAAATAAGAAATGTCTGTGAAGTGAGTCAGGAAATGAGTGTGAGGGTCCATTGGGCAGTGCCAGATGAACACACCCTCCTCGAGATTGTGCGTTTGATCTAGCTGTCCTTTCTGTGCAGTCAGAGTATGCGAGCCAGGGGTGTGGAGCAGACAAGGGGCCTCAATTTGGCATTGAGAGTGTGGGTGGGGAGAAGACATGAGTGTTCCTGTGGGTGTGCACCATGGGTTCCTGTTGGTGTGTACCACCTGTTCCTGTGAGTGTGCACTGTGTGTTCCTGTGGGTGTGCACCTCGTGTTCCTGTGGTGTGGACCACCTTTTCCTGGGGGTGTGCATCATGTGTACCTGTGGGTGTGCACTGCATGTTCCTGAGAATGTGCACTCTGTGTTCCTATGGTGTGCACCGCCTGTTCCTGTGGGTGTGCACTGTGTGTTCCTGTGGTGTGCACCACCTGTTCCTGTGGGTGTGCCACTGCCTGTTCCTGTGAGTGTGCACTGTGTGTACAGTGGGTTTCTGTGGGGTTAGGGTGTGTGTTGGGAGGGGTGCTGGTAGTGCATTGGTGTCAGCCACGGCTCAGGCACTGAGTGTGTGAGAAGCAGAGTGTAGGCAGAGATGGGCGTGGGCCAGGGTCATTAATGAGGGGATGGGTGGTGAGTGAGGTGGTATGAGGTGCAGGAGTAATATGTGCATCAGGAGTGGGTGTGCCCAGGCAGGAATGAGTGTGGCAGGTGGGATGTGGCACACAGGTAGGGGAAGAGTTCAGTGCCGAACTGGACAGTGAGTGTGGAGTGGAGAGTGCTGGTTGGGTATGGAGCAGGTGTAAGATGGCATGTGAGGTGGGGTGGGGCCTCAGACAGGACACTGGATGGGCATGAACTGTGGACCTCAGCCTGCGGTGCAGACAGAGCTTGCACTGAGATCTCGACCCAGCCCTCCCTGTTGGAGTGATCATGGCTACATCTGATCCACACTTTGGACCCATCAGTAGGTCGTGGACTTGATCTTCCCAACCCAAATCTGCATCTTGACCTAAAACCCTAATGTGGCCTGGACTTCACTTTGCCCTTGTGTTGGACCTGGACATTGGTGTGGATATGGTCTTAAGCCTGGACCTGAATGTTGGAGTTCAGCCTGAACATTGCACATGGACTTTGAACCAGGACCTTGGACCAGCCTCAGACCCCAAGATGGACTTTATACTTGGATCTTAACCTACACTTTGAATCTGGGCTTGGCTCTTAGAACTATCAAGTATGACAAAGTTGATACTGTGTCCATTGATTTCAATTTGTATAGGACCTAAGATGTGACCTCTGGTCTTGGAGAGTTTGAACTTGGTCTTGAACATGGACTCTTAATTCAAAATTATCCCTCTGACCTGGACCCTGAACCAGATCTCAGACTTAAACCTCGCATTTGTACCCAGACATGCCGTTGGACCTGCAAAATGGAATCCAAACTTGATTCTGGGTCTAGGATGTGGTCTTGATCATGAACTTGGACTCTTATTCTGAATTTTGACCTGGTCACAGTCACAGAGTCTATATAGGGTTTACCTGGGCTTTGAACTAGAACAGAATCTCGGATTGGGCATGGACAGTTGCTCAGGATCTTGGACCTGATGTTAGATGTAGAACTGGGACATTGATCTGAACCTTCTCTAGGAATTTGCATCTCAATATTGGGCCTAAAGCTTTGAGTTGGGTGGAGCTTGAACTCAGACTAGGACCTTGGATCTGGAGTTTGGACTGGAGGCATGGCAGGGCCACTGGAAATTTGCTAAAAGAAGAATGACTTCCTTGAGGATTGACCAAGACTTTGGCCATTTGTCAAATCCCCTTATAGGAGAAAGTGTCTTGCCCAGGTCCTCAGACCTTTGCCATCAGGTCTGGAGGAAATTGTCCCGTTCCCGGACTCCTTGGTTATCTAGAAGCCCTGCGTAAGTAGAGGGAAGTGGGCTCATCCACAGATGGCAAGACGAAGTTCAGGTATTGGGTCAGTGCAGCTGGCTGACCTTCAGGGTTACATCTTAGCACCAGGCTCCCTGCGCAGCAGACAGATGTACTGCATGTGTTTTCAGACTGCCTGCTTGGGCCTGGTCTGTGTCTTGTTCAGCCGACACAGACCACAGGAACTCCACCTCTAGACAGCTCTTGGGATGTTCAGCTCAGAGGTGTCCAACCTGCGAGCAGACACACAGGGTCCACAGATACCAGTCAGTAATTCGGGTGCTCCCTGTCCCCCAGGTTTCTGGAATTAGTGACAGTGGACCAGACACATGTTTCAGTTTTAAAAATTACACAGTGTTGAGTTCCTGTACTCAGCCTCCAATGGGAATTTTACCTCCATTACCAGATAAAGTTTACTTAAGCTTAACCATGAGAAATAGGATAATCATTCATCGGGGGGTGAATTGTAGAAAGAGTCTGATTCTAAATGGGCAAAAACATTAAACACAAATGGCCCAGAAGTATGTGAAAAATGTTAACTAGCCATCAGGAAAATGAAAATCAAAACTACGTTAAGATGTCACCTCAGTCCAGCCAAATGAACACCATCAAGAATAAGTAAGTAAGTAAATAAATTATGAGTGCTGGCAAGGGTGTGGGGCCAAAGGGACACTATACTCTATTTGTGGGAATGTAAATGAATGGAGTCACTGTGGAAATCGGTATGGAGATCCCTTACAGAAAATAGAGACACCATATGATCTAGCTATGCCTCATCTGCTCTGAGTATCTTCCTGGAAGAGTTATGGATGCCACACTCTGGTGGTCCATACATACCCATGTTCATAGCAGCATAATTCACAAGAGCTGAGCTCGGTGCGTAGCTCACTTGGGTGCAGGTGACCTCTGATTTTTGTTTATGTCATCTAGACCCTAGAGCTTGGAATTACAGAATCATAATTTAGAAAAATGGTTCCAAATTCCTTACATATATTAGCAAATTTTGTAAAATTAGTTTTATTTAAAAGATATAGTAGGGCATACCTATAGTCACAGCACTCTAAAAGGCTGAGGCTAGAGGATCAAAAATTCAAGTTCATCCTGGACAGTTGAGTAACTCGTGAGATCACATCTCAAAATACAGTAAGTGAATAAAAAGAGTTGGAGCTCTAGCTCAGGGCAAAGGCTCTGAGTGCAGTCCTCACAGGCGTGCACACACACTCATGTCCACATACACAGATGCAGTCATTTTCAGGCTACAGAGGAAATTCTAATGTAAGTGATTTATGCCAAAAGTGTAAAAGAAAAGCTGAGACTCTTTCAAGACAAGGTCTTCCCCACAGGTGTTCTAAGTAGCATGGAGCAAGCTCTCAAATTTGACAGAGCAGTGTGGAGTTGGTTGTTTTATCCCACACCTGGCTAGGTTCCTGCTTGTATGCGGTGGTAGCTTCAGTGATATGCTGGCTGCTCTGTAATTCACATGCAGCGCACCTGCCCCATGGCTTTGTCACTGTTCAGTGAGCAACGTCACCCCAGGGATCTCGTAACTCTTTAACTAATTATCTGCCCAGTAAGTGCTAAAGTGAAGCTAAAAATATGAACCTTTAATTTTGTTTTGAACAGTGGTATTGCAGAAGAAATCTATAGCACACAATTTCACATTGTTTATAATTATTTTTATTCTACAATTTACGAAGGATGTGGTTATGGGAATTTCTGGAAATAACATGCTTCCAAGCCAATGAATCAATTGAATATTTAAAGTCGATTATTGAGGTGCTGATTTCTAAGGACCAAGTGTTAAGATAACAAAGAGTGAATTAAACATTACATCTGCCTCAGGAAATTAGAAATTACTCACCAGAGTATGGAGCGACAAACAGTCCAGTTCTCTTGGGATGTAGGGACTTGGTAGGGTCTTGGATTTTCAATAACAAAGCCAGACAGCTGCTCCCCCAACCTCCACCAGGGTCTCCTAACTCCACCCTCTCCTGCCTGTCATGAT